CATATGTGGCTAGTAAGGCCAGAGTCTCTGCACAGAGTGAATATGTTTTTAAAAAATGGCAACATATTAGCCCTGCAACCAACCTGTGGAGGGTGTACCCCACTTATCGCCCTATGGTAGCTGGGATAGGCTCCAGCTCCTGTGCAACCCTAATAAGGATAATTGGAAGGAAGGATGGATAGAAAACATCAAATTCATTACAAATCTCTTTTTATTTTTACATGCATTCATCTTTATATACATTATATATTATTAAAACAAAACAAATATCATAAAGACCTGTACACCAGAAATGCCCTTCTAATTAAAATTAGTTTGAAATTAGCCTAAAACTTTTGTGCCGTCTAAGATTTTGATCCAGAAAAAGCTCAGCTTTCTTCAAAACTACACAGCCGTGAGGATTTAGAGCCCTTTCCAGGCATTGCACTTATGGGATTTTTTTTTTTTTAAATGTGGGATAAACATGCTTTCTATACTCTAGGCAGTGTTTTTGTTGTGTTTCTTCTTTCTTTTTTGTCACATGCCCAAACAGATGGAAGCTTTGTCTCATTTTAAGAATATGACACACATCCTGGATCTGATGCTGCAGGCGGACGTTGTCTTTGCTGGCTGGACGCAGCATCGCCGGGGGTCTGTGGGAGTTCTTGCATTTTCGGAATGGACTGCCCTTTTAATTTCGGATGTTAACCTTTTCCCCCGGAGCGGCGAGAGGACCATTTGCGCCATCAGATCTGCTCTGGTGTATATCTCTCTTTCTGCTCAGCAGTAGCCAGTCGTGTCGCCCCCAGCCTATTCCCCCCCCCCCTCCATTATTGTACGTAGCTACTTTTGCTCTCTGTTCACATCTCTGCAAAAAGAAAGAAGAAAAAAAGCACAGGCATGTAAACAAACACATCAACATGCAGTGACTAAGTGAGCCTTGTAGAGATACACGGGGAGTTACGATTAATTTGTAACGTTAATTCGCTTTGTGTCGAGACCACTGATAGCAGTGGATTTATGCTTTGCTCCCTGTTGCTTGTGTGCGTGCTCTGGGTGATGCGTGTGTGTTTAGGGGCCTCTGGAACACCACTGCTTTACCGCTGATAGCAGGATCATGACGCTCATGTAGTCAAGTATGCCATTATCACTAAAGCGCGTGTAGATAGTCCACCTGAGTCCTCAGACATGGTATTTACACATAAAGGGTGCTCAGAGATAAACAGCAGGGGGTACAGTACACTGTAGAAACAAGGTGGATACTGCTACACAGTCCAAAACACCAAAACATACGCCACGCTCATGTCGGCGCGTCTCTGCCACTGTAACATACTCCAACCTGCTGGCTTGTCGACTCAGTACAAAAGAAGTCAAGAAAAGATTAGATGATAGAGGGTGTAATTTTCTTAAATACGCACCAGCAAGTTCCCGGTCCAACATGTCGATAAAACTCTCAAGATCCCTTGTGTCTCCCAGCTTGGCTGCAGAAAGAGGACAGAAAGAAATGGAATTTGAGAAAGAAACTATAAGAAAAATAGAGCTGCAGTGGAACATTTTTGTAGAGAAAGGCAGCTCAGTTCAGTGGTAGCCTATTTCCTTTGGACCAAACGCTGAAGTTATCTAAGTCTCGGCATTACATAAAGTTTGAACTGAACACGCAAACTGAGATAAAGCTGATTTTAAGAGCTCCAAAAAGAGCCTTGGCAGCCTCGTTCCCACCAGGATCTCTCTGTTGTAAGCTTTTTCTGTGTAAAGCCAAACAAAATTGATGAAAAAATATGACTGACTCTTTCTGGTCACCTGATGTTTAACTTTAACAGTAGTCTGTGGATGCAACTGCAACAGCACGCATTAATCCACATGCGCACGCAGCCAAGAGCCGGTCTCATCACTGCATATAACAGCACAAATGACTCCACGCAGGAGCTTTGAAAGAAGAGCGCTGAGACGTCACAGCCACAGTGGAAGTTGCTTTGTTGTGTAAACCAAGACAGATTCCAGGGCATTGCAGATGCTTTCTGTGTAGCTCTTATAAAGTGATAGTGATCGCTGTAAGAACTGAGGCTATCTAGATGGAGATGAGCTGATAGAAGGCTCCAGTACCTTTTGATGCCAGCGTTATTCCTGCTGTGTGGAGCTCCTCCTCACTGGTATTCAAACTGTTCCCCATAGATGGTTCACTGCCTGGGGGAAGAGAGGGAAGCAATGAGGGAGTGAAAGGAGATAACAAGCACTAAGGGCAGTCCTTGCAAATGATCAGTGACAATGACAAAACTCTAACATAATGCAGGAGTTGCACGTAATGATGATAACATGCGATAAAAAAAATTAAAAGGTAAGTGTTCGGCGCTAGTGACTCCCATGTGTCGGCCTTTGAAAGCAGTTTGTCTGTTGAATGGTTAGGGGGGCAAAATACTTTCAATAATGACGACACATGGGAGCAGAGGGGGGGGGGAACTGTTTCTTCTTTTATCTTATAACCGTCGACAAATGCAGAACAAAGGGGGGAAAGACAATTACACAAGATGGGATATCCGTAATTGCAGCTCATTCCAGTATACAGTTATTGTCACGAGCACAAACAGCCACTTTAATGGAAGTGTGTAGGGATGTGTCCTCTTGTACCACTAATTTCATGCAAATTAAATGTGTCAAGCTGCAGTTGTTTGGGCTGATAAAGGGGCTCAACTGGAGTCCACGGGGATTCCAAACAATGTCACTCACCAGCATGATGCACTAAATAATTACTTTCCTTCCCCCACACTTTGTACATTAGGCAGATATTATCTTAATCACTTCTCTAACGTATTCTTTTTTCTTTCTTTTTTTTTGAATAACTTACTGTAATCTGAGTCCTCGACTCCACTGTCTTCACTCAGCCCTGTGAGAGTTTTGGCCTCGTGCAATACTTTCTGGTAAGCATGCGGTCTGCTTTGAGAAGGGGCCTTCAGCTCCTCCACCACATCCTGGAACTCCTGGAGCAACTCACCAAGCTCCAAGTCTAAGTCTGTGGAAAATGTGACAGCAGTTGGAAAGAAATCTTCAAGATGGACTCAGCTTATTTCAGCAGTAAAAGAAAATAGTAGAAACACTGAAATAAATATTTTTAAAGACTTGATTAAATATGGGGACCTGAGAATGTTTTAAAGGGCGTTTCAAAGATACCAAATTCCTAAACCTAAGAAATATACATTAAAAAAAAAAAAAGGAAAATCTAAAAACTACCAGCTGAAGTTTATGTCAGCGTGCTGCATCAGATAACTGGACATGTTCCCATATGGCATATAAAACAGTAGACGGACAGTAAAACACCTGGTCTGCAAAGTGTGATTAAAAATATATTTATATATATTACATCATAAATCAGAGTTGTACGCTCTCGGCTACTATAAAACCTTTTTTAGCGCCGGCACCATTATTTTAAAAATGGGTGTTGCATAAACGCAGTTTAGGTTTTCTAACATTTTATTAGGCTCACATAAATATCTCAAAGTTAAAATTCCTTATGGAACACTAAAATTAAAACAACTTTGGTGTGTTTGGTAGATACGTAAATACGGATGATTACAAAAAAGTACAACTACAAAAAGGATTAGGAATTTAAAATAAGTGTCACAGCTAGATGATTTTTAAATCTTCCTATAAAGCTTTTCTATCTTTTACATATATTTGTGGGTTGTTGTTTTTTTTATCTGTTTAGTAAATTTAATAAAAGGCTGGGAAAACGTGCTCTATGATCCATCACTGAAATAAATTCAAATTATTGTCTCAAGCAGGCGTTGGACTCACCCATGGTGCTGTCTGAGGACATAGCGAGACGTGAAAGAAAAGCGCCACGAAGCTGCTGTGTGTCTGGGTTCAGAGCGGTTTGATGCTGACAGTACTACTGTACTTTTATTCTAAAGCCTTCCACACCCGCTCTGCGAGAGGGCCTGCCCAGCCAATCATGTCACAGATTAAAAACCTCAGAGGTCGAGGGGACTGCATGTGGAAATGGGGAGGGGGCGGAAAGTAAAAAAACGAGGTTGTTACGCAAGTGAAAGAGAGTGGGACTGGAATAACCCATTAAATGCTGTAAGCGGGGCTGTGGGAAAAAATATCCGTTGGGGTTTTAGATGAAGACAGAAAAGAGGGGTGTCAAATCCTCGAGTTATTCCGTTTTGGGTAGGCGGCGTAATGCGGGGGTTTGGGTTTTATGTACATTAATATTATATTATTATTTGCCCGATATAATTTCCTGGCTGTGACACAAGTAATCTTAAACACAGGACACTTTGATAGGAAAGAGAAGTGTCGCACACGCTCCAAAACAAAACTCGGAACAACAAACTTTATTCTTCTTTCACACGTGCACTACTCTGCTCTGTCTGTAGGGGGCCTTAGAGAGCAAGCCTATGGGCCATGCAGTACTTTGGAACTGTCAGGGAAACTTAAAAGCCCTGCTGTGAAGCAATACCACACAAATAAATGCTGCATAACCAGTCTTGTTCTTTGATATCTTGAGATCTCAAGTAAATGTATCTTGCTTTCATGACTACGGGTCAAATTTCACCAACCGTTTACTGTCACTTAACAGCGTGATGATTAACCCTAAAGAAAATAAGCATTTTCTTTTTTCTTCTGTTTTTTTTTTTCTTTTCTTTGCATTTCGGTTTGTTTGTTTGTTTGTTTGTTTGTTTGTTTGTTTGTCTTGTTTGTCTTGTTTTTTGGCACATGAAAAAAGCATACCAGAGGTTACATACTGCACTCTCAAATGTACTTTTATTGTAACTGAGGAGTCATTGTTTCTTATGACAGTTTACATCTACGTGCACTTTATATCTATGCATGAGCATGTGGACATATATTTATATATATTCATAAATGTGTTTGTGTGCAGGCTTGCGTGCGTGCAGTTGTAAGTAATTTTAAGCAACAGTGCATTCGTAGTTCCAGCTTAATGCACATGAATTCAGCTCAGCCAGGTAAACCTGTTGTTCCTCCATCTTCTCATGTGGCAGCCTGACAGGAAGGTAAGTTTTGTAGGAGGAGCATAATTATGCCTTCAGCAGTTTTATTTTGCTGCCTCAGTCCTTAGCATTCACTTGCTGCTGGGAACTTGGCTAACATGTGTGGGGGCGATGGGCCATGGGACTCCTGATAATATGAATTGGGCCAGACTACTGCAGGTAAGAGCCAGCTGAGTTTATCTCTTTTGATGGTATCTGCACTGTATTAGCGTTTCTAATTGAGTCATATATTGCAGCAACACACGAATGTGCTCGGTGCATTGTACGGCATCATGTTCTAAAGAGGTGTTAAATTGTATGACCCTTTATTCATTTTTAATAAAGAATGTCTGCTTTGATATTTTCCTTTTATTTAAATTCTCTGTGTTATTTGTTTACAAGAGCACTTGGTTGGAGATAAGTGAGAGGGAGGCATTGAATTACCTTATTGTGCAGCTGCTTGCTTTTAAAAGAGCTCACTGAGGCATGAAGTTTAAATTTTATCACCACGTTGAAAACTTTTAAATAACTTATATCATAAGTTTTAAATAGAATAGTGTAACTCTACAAAGGCTACTGCTCACTGGTTTTTTTGTTTTCTGTCTTTGTCAGAAGCTGCTGATTGTGGTTCACATCAGGCAGATCATATGTAGTTCTCTCCTGTTTTCCATCCCAGAGGAACTGGAGCCTGACACTCTGGTTGGATCACTTAGTAAAAACTTTTCTCCTCCATATCAGCTCCTGCCCCACAAGTACCTGAGGATGGACATAAACACGGGGAATTTCTACACCACTGAGTTAAAGATGGATCGCGAGGCCATCTGCCCCGCAGAGAAAAAAGCTGAGGAATGTGTTACTTTATACAATGCCATCGTGGGGCCCTCAAAAGACCTTATACAGTTTTCTGTGATCATAGAGGACATCAATGACAATGCGCCGCATTTTGAAAATAACAAAATACACCTTGGGGTGCCCGAGGATACGACCGTGGGGACCAGTTTCCTGCTAGATACTCAGGCTCTGGACAGTGACACCGGTCCTAATGGAGAGGTGCAGTACCACCTAAAAGGCTCTGATGGAGCTTTTGGTTTAAAAATCGAAGAAGACAGCTCTTTAATTATGTTGGTTGTAGAAAGAGCCCTGGATAGGGAAACTCGGGACCTCTTTCAGATGCAGCTAGTGGCCACAGACTGTGGTGTAGACCCTTTAAGTGTGTCTGCAGATTTAATAGTCACAGTGACAGATGTCAACGACAACTGTCCAGCCTTTAGCTCTGATAGCCCACACAGTGTCACCATCCCAGGAGACTCTCGGAAGAACACAGTGGTCACTCAGGTCAGAGCCACAGATCCAGATTTAGGCCCAAATGGTGATATCGTTTACTCCCTCAGTCCCAAAGTCTCTGAGCGGGTCAAGACGCTCTTTAGCCTCAACAGTCTCACCGGGTCCATCAGCCTTACACGAGACCTTGAGAGCGACAACTCAGAGGAGCTCGTGTTGAAAGTGTTAGCCAGCGGCCATCACTGCCCTCCAGCAGACACTCAGGTAACCATATCCGTGCTCCCCAAGGCGAACCAAATGCTGACGATCAAGATCGGGTTCATAGCGGAGCATCAAAACCAGACTATGGTGTTACAAGAGAACCAGCACCCCACTGCCTTAGCCGTTTTAGAGCTCGAGGGTGACAGCATCTTTAAAGACTTATTTCTTGCCATTGAAGGTGAAGTGCCTTTCACTTTGAGCCCACAGAATGGCAAGTATCTGCTTTCCACATCAAAGCCCTTAGACTATGAGATGGATCGTGAACATCATATTTCCGTGGTAGCACGCGTGAGATCAGCTGAGGGATCTGTGATCGTTCCTTCTAGACGTGTAGTCACGGTGCTGGTGGCAGACATCAACGACAATGCGCCATATTTTGTACAGCCTCACTACGAACTCCAAGTGGAAGAAAACAATCAGCCAGGAATGTCACTGCTTCAGATCTCGGCTTCAGATTCAGACAGCGGAGAAAACGGCATGGTGACATACAGGCTTGAAAACTACAATCCAACCATGTTTAGCATTGATTCTGTAACAGGTCAACTCTCTCTGCTGGTTCCTCTAGACAGGGAGCAACAGAATGTACACAGACTCACTGTGTTTGCTCGGGACAGCGGCTCTCCTCCCTTGGAATCCATGGCCACTGTATCCATTTACGTTCGTGACCAGAATGACAATCCACCTGTTTTTCTTACCCCTCACTTCATCTTTTTCATTCCTGAGAATGTTCCAACATTATCCCAGGTGGGGAAGGTGGAGGTGAAAGACCCAGATAAAGGGGAGAATGGGACAACAGAATTGTATGTTGTAAACAGCAGTGCACCTTTTGTTGTGGATAACACCCAGGGGATGCTACGCACCACTAGGAACTTGGACCGCGAGACAGAAGACCGCTATGAACTCTACCTGCTGGCCAGTGATCACGGCCAGACAGTTGCTTTGACTTCCACTGCCAGAGTGACCATCTTTGTGGAAGACATCAATGACAACCAGCCAAAAGTGATCCTTCCCGGCAGCAACTCCTCATGCCTAACTGTCTCTCCAGGTACCCTGGCAGGTGCCACGGTAGGAAAGATCTATGCCATCGATGAGGACTCTGGACTGAATTCAGAGATTACTTACTCAGCTACGGCACCGGAGCTTTTGCAAAACAGAAGTCCCTTTCAGATCGATTCAAGGTCAGGGAACATCACCTTAAGCCAACAGCTCCTTCATACAGACCTGGGAATGCATCACCTGTTCATTGTGGTCAGAGATGGGGGTAAACCAGTTCCACTTTATACCACTGTCTGGATGAATTTGTTGGTCAATGACAGCACAGAGCCTTGCCACTTGGACCGGATGCCCACCTGGACAGGGACACTAAACTTGGTTCAAACCCCTTCAAAGGAACCGATCTGTGACGTGGAGACAGCCAGATTTTCAAAACTGATTCTGTTAATAGGCCTGGGTATGATGCTGGTGTCCACATGTTTGTTTGTGGCCACAGTTATTTGCTGCCTAAAACAGAGGAGTAGAAGTCTGAAAATGAACAAGAGAGCATACACTGAGGCGAATGAGATTCCACTCAGGCTCAAAGACAAATATTACTCTGATTAATAACAGCAAGCAATGTGTAAAGCTCACAGCCTCAAAGATAAAAATGTCCTGTGAATTAAATGTATTCCGTGTATTTGTCAAGGGCTTCTTGCATTGTAATAAGTCATTGATTCAGTGTGATGCACGGTGTATTCAAACATGTCGACTGCAAAACTGACAGGTTCTGTAGAAATAAAGTTGATCCATTTTCTGATAATGGAACGAGCATATACACGTTGACCTGATAAGTGAAATATGTCAAGCCATCCACAAAATTCCTGACAATTCTCTGAAAAAAACAACTAAATTCAACTGTATTTCACAGATTTATTCCATAGCAGGCCATCGGTAAGCTACCAGCATTACAGACATTATCTTTAAGGATTATTGCCCATGACCCCTGCGGGTAGAAAGATTGAAGTAATGGTCTGTTAGGTTGATTGGTCCTTTCTCAGATTTCTGACTGAGTGATGGAGAGTCTAAAGTATTTAGACACACAAAAGGGTTTAATGTTCCTCGGTTGGGGAAGTGATGAAAGTCTCTCAAGAAGTAACTCTGAGATGAGCTCAGGAGGCAGAGGGTGGCCACGGACAGGTGAGAGGCGGCAGAGGGAAGGCACAAAAACATCTCAAGTAACCGCCTCACACCTGTTACTTGATAGCACTGCTTTTCACCCACAGAGCTGGATCGCACCAACAAGGCAGAAAAAACCCCAAACCTACCGTACTGCACCCAGTAACCTGACAGGCTTGTTGTTTTGATAACAGATGTTTGGAGTGAAATCACACCGTGTTCAAAGACACAATTACAAAAGACACTTGCTCTTGTGTTTTACTGATGCATTTGCATGCTGGAGAACAATTGAAATATCAAACCAGGTTAAGTGATGCATAAAGTATGAATGAGTCAGGCTGAAACGTGTTTGCAAATCTGTCAACACACAGTCGAGCACAGAGGACAGGGTAATTGTTTCAGCTTTCTCAAACGAAAAAGCTCCCCCACCTTTTAAAATCATCTTTACAGTATCATAAACCATTAAGAAATCCTTTGAAGCTACACCTGCGTTAGAGGGAAGAAGGGAAGCAGAGACTCGGTGCCTGTAAAACACAATGTACAACAACCTGGTTAGTGGGGAACAAGGCTTGTATAACATGAGTGGTGCCTCTCTGAGGATTTCAGAGCTGGCGGCTCAAAAAATAAATAATCTATTAACACTTCGGTGTGAGATTTACTATATCAAATGAGAAGAAACAAAGACTGCTACATAAAAATTACAGACTAACAGCAGATCTTTACATAAAAAAACATGTAGAAATGTATATTAAAGTATATTTATTTTATTTTATTGGTGGCCAAAATACAAAAGTGTTTGGAAAGTGGGGTTTTTTTTTTTTTTTTTTTTTTTTACATAATTTATTGATTGTTATTGGCCAATTTTTAGCCCCAACTACAGTCCACTGGGGGATGAAAGTTAACCTAAACGCTTACAATGCTGTTGCAGGGCAACGCCTGCCATCTACTGGGCGCAAATGAAGCAAAATAGGGCTAATTTTGTTTTTACATTTCTGGTATTAGGCCAGAGGGAGGAGATGAATCAGAGCACAGTCTCTCACTGCGACACAGTCAGGTGCCCTGGGATCAGGAATGTTTCCTTGATGTGCACAAAAAGGACATTTTTATCTTAATCATGTTCCCTTTTTCTGCTTCTTATGCTGAACATTTGATGGATGGCTATATAGCACAAAAGAGAGCTGTCGTGACAAATAAGTGATTGCATATTACAAAACGAAAGGGACTCATTGAAACTCTATCTTGTTAGGTAAGATCGCTAAAAAATAAACACTTCTCATAAGTGTGCACATGTTTATAGTTTTCCTTTCGCTGGAACATTCCAAAAGAGGTTAAAAAACCGTGACACCGTTTATTTGGGTTGCTGGGATGCCACTTCAGTCACGGTGAAGTGTATCTCACTGCAAACAGATGATATCTGTCAATTTCCTGTAAGAATATCACCTGAACGCTCAAAGGGCAACACCATGATAGCCAGTGTTATCTCAATCAGAGGTCGTAGACCCACAGCGTCTGAAACAACAAGCTCGACTCAACATGATGTACGACTCATTCCTCATTTGCCTGGACATGTTGGCATTTTGACTTTTAAGACAAAAAGGTCTTAGCTAACCACTGTTTGTCCCCACACACACGAGGAGAAGAAAAATCTATTCTTCTCTGTGAGCACGTCTGTATGCAAATGAGCGTCAACAATGAACTTAGTAAATGTCCGCAAGTTTAAGGACCCCCGGCCTCCTCATCATTTCTGCTCCTTGAAGTTCATTGAAAAGCGACATTGTTTCTTTAAGGTTGCACTCGCAGTCATCGGCGGGTCTGTCCATTGTTGGGGGGAACAGAACAGCGAGTTGAGATTGATATACGGGGGCCGGAGACAAGTTGCGCATATCATCAGCGGACCAGCTGCAGTGCGAGCAGCGAGACAGTAGCCGACAAGTCCTTGAACGCATCTTTCCAGACATGGGTAAGAAACTTCACACAGACTAGAGTCTACCTTTATTAGCTTGTAGTATGTTCTTATTATCACTTCTTTTCTTGATTGTATGCGATTGTTCTGGGAGGGAGGGGAGCAGTGAGAGGGCATCAGAAGTTATTAAAGTGGGGGCTCTCTTTTTTTGTCAGTGTAGAGGTCGGCTTCTTACCGGCTGATATTATGAGATTTATTTCATGCTTGAGATGGCAGGGCTACTTTTCAGACGAGCCTTGTCGCATTTGCTTTCGCTCGCAATCCTTCTCAATTTTTATAGAGGCGATTTGGCCCCAGCTTTTGCATTTTCAAGACTATTCCTGCAGGGCTTGTCTTTTCATTTGGGTCACAATCAAAGAGCCAGAGAGGGCCGCAGTGATTCGTAATTGGCTAATTGGCACAAGGTGCATCTGAAGGCCGGCCTGATTGACTGACTGAGGTTAGTGTTAAAACTTATGGATTATGCTGATACAATGTGTGTGTATATTCTCTAAAAAAAAAATTAAAAAAAATCTATCTATATGTACTGTATATAATTTATTGTGTAGCTATGTTATTCACAATTTCTTGTCAAACTCTGTGTTCTGTGCACAAACCCTCGCTATGTGAATCGCATGCAATCAGTTTGCATGTCTGGTCATGCACAGACACCCAACAAAGCTATGCGTTTGCTTAAAGAGCCATCTATTTGCCCCTCCGGCCATCTGTGTTTACTGCAATGGTACCAGCTACAGTCTGCCTGCTTCTATTGTGCATGTCTGTGTGGATGCATGTACACATTTACACAGTTCCATTGTTTGTTTCTAGGTTTGCTTTTTCCATCCTCTTCCAGCACTGGCAGCTCCCCACTATCATTTTCTTGTTCCTGTGTCTTCTTAGTAGGAAGTCTGGTGAATATGCTTGTGTGTGTGCCCGCAAAGCACAGAGGTGCCTCTGGCCTTTGTTTGCTTGACATTGGTGGCCCTTGTACCCCCATGATGGTGTGGCACAAAGACTGTTGTCTCTCCAGTCACAAAAGCAGCCACTCTTTCTGTTTCGCTTTGCCTTCTCCTCAGCGTCCTCCCTCTTTTCTCACACTCTCCATCCTGGCTGGTGAATGGAGTCAGGGTGTGAGATGGGGTCAGAGTCGACACGTCCCCATGCCCGTGGCCCTTGGCATCCATTCAAACAGCACATGACTAGTGGGGGGAATGCACAGACTTAATAAGCGAACTTGTGTGTTTACAGCTGCAGCTTGATCAATGCTGACATTTTATCTTTAAAAGGTTGCTTTGGCTGGCTTTGTTTTTCCTTATTGTATTTTTTACCCCTAGTATTATGTAGGTAGGTTTTTGGGTTGTCAAATTTCATGATTCTTATCTCTGGGGTTTTCTGTCGCCACCAAGTTCAGCTGTATTTTATGCCAAATGCTGTGTTCGTGCTATGAAATCAGATGATAACCTTTTTGTCTACTCCCAATCATGAAAATTGACAGAAGCCCTATATTTTTAATTATCAAGGGTAACATGAAATAGTTTGTGTAGAAAGGATCTGCTGTTGGATATTTGGGGCACGAATCACACAAAGTTAACTCTCAGTTGCACGTGTTTAGATTGAAAGAACGATCAATAAATTGTTCTGCCGTTTTAAGCAGCACAAACAAACACAAACTATTTAGCTTGTCTGTGCTGGGGTGGAAGCAACAATCTCATAAAGGGATGTCTCAAAACCAGAACAAATGCAATCAAAACTATCTGCATGGCACAAATCGGAGTTCAGTGAGAGTAATTTTAGTTGAACAGATCATTTTAAAAGTTGCGGCACAATTTAATTTCCATTAACTTGAAAGAGTGAAAACATATTTCCTGTCCTTGGGAGAAAAAAACCATGCAGTATATTCTTTAATATTTCGTACGTTTTAATGGTGTACTATGTCTTTCCGCTGTTCATAATATGCTTTGTTTTCCATGGCGCTGCCTGTCGACTAATAGGTTGCTATGAGTGCTGTATGCGGTGTTTGGGTGGGGTGCCGTACTGTTCCCTTGTTGCCACACTTCTCTGCTTCTCTGGCATTGCCCTCTTCTGTGGTTGTGGGCACCAGGCACTCACAGAGACAGAGAGGCTCATCGAGACATACTTTGCACGTAACCTTCAGGACTACATAACCCTAGCCTACATGTAAGTCGTCCTATATTTCCATCATCGAAGCGTGATCAAACCTGATCATGATTTCGTCTGTATTTTGAAGGTTTAACCCTTTTAACCTCTTAACATTTTCTTTTTCCTTTGCCACTCTCAGCATTCAATATTTCCAGTATGTCATCTATGGTTTGGCCTCCTTTTTCTTCCTCTACTGCATTGTGCTTTTGGCCGAGGGCTTCTACACTACGAGCGCTGCAAGGCAAACCTTTGGAGAGTTCAGGAGCACCATGTGCGGCCGCTGCCTCAGCTCCTCGGTGAGAGGGCCCTGAGTGGGAAAAGTAAAAAGGATTGGACAGATTGGATAGGATTTAATACATATATCACTCCCTGGTGGGTGGTGAGCTGAAAAATCTTAAAGCTCCTAAAGAAGAAAAAATCTTAAGGGACATGCAAAGATAAGCATACAGTGAGTGTTTGAGTGGTCTAAGACTTGAGTAGTTGGAAGAGGAGGCAAAAAGGGAGATAAGTAGAACTAACCTGAAAAACAAGTGTGGCTATTAAGTGAGTCACGCCTCATAAAAACACTCTGAGATTGTGTGCATCCATTTAATCTGATAATGCACCCTAATCTGTGGCCTGCTCTCTCCTTGTGCAGTTTATAGTGATGACGTATGTGCTCGCTGTGCTGTGGCTGCTGGTGTTTGCCTTCTCGGCATTGCCAGTCTACTTCTTCTACAACATGGACGCTACCTGCCACACTATTGATATTCTGACTGAGACCCCAGCAAGTATCAACCAGCTTTGTGTTGATGCGAGACAGTACGGTAAGAGGAACTCCCATCGCAGTCAGTGTTGGGCCTCCTCATGCAAAATCCATTCACATAAGGCAAACCTGTTAACGCACGGCATATTTATCTTACTGTAAACAAATCTCTTGAAACGGCCATTTCCAGTGATGATTTCTTGCCAAAGAATTGGGAAAATTAAATCCTGATTATGGTTTCTGCTATAACCTCCACTGTTCAAAAACTCTTTAGCACGCTCGAGGTCAACAGCCATTCCCACGGCTGTCTGAGGCTTAACCTAAGGACATAATGCAAACAATATAACAATTAATACAGAGACAAAGCAGCTGGAGGGGAAACGGTTATGAGGCTATTACTGTGGCAAAACTATTTGTGCGTGTAGTTTTGCTACGGTAATGGCCTCATAAACAGTAGGCCACACACCTTGTGTTGACGCTATTAGCATGCTAATGTAGTTAGCTGAGGTGCTTGCAAATATATTGTTGCTCGTGGTCAGTGGTGGGAAAACTCAACTGCCAAAAGAGGCATTTTTGAGCAGTTTTTGACCCCCAAAAGTTTATATGGTGTGACAAAACTTATTTGATCTTTTAACACATGTGAAATGATTAGTTGGCATTTTGCATTTTTGAAACTGGAACAAAGACAAAGTCTACACCTGCACTAGTTGGAGAATACGTGCATTTCATTCATCAGTCAGTGTTTTTGTAAATGAATCAAATTAAAATCGGTCTACTTTGATGATAAAACATTTTGCATCATAATAAAAAAAAAAGGGGGGGGGGGGCAGTTTGAGTTTAATTCCAGTTAAAGTCCTTGCTGAGATCAGGCTTACCAGTAAGCCAGCAGCATTAGTGGTGAAAGCTCTAAATTCTCTTTTTCCTCTGTGGATTTACTTTATTTGGATTTGAATGCATAAAACTATAGGGACTCAGAACTACTTATTTATGTATGCAGCCATACAAGCCACTGCAGTCCGACTTCAGCAAATTTGAGAGGATAAGGTGCCAAGTGATAGTCAAACACTGTGATGTACATTTTAGGTACCAAATTATTAAAACTTGACCTTAAATTCTGTGTTCATAATTGGAGATATATTTTTTTTATAATCAAGAATTGCCTAAAGCTATGATTTGAAAAAAAAAAAATTACTATTGCTCATTTCCATTTTTCACTGGAGCCACTTAAAATAGCCTGACGAGCCCAACGCAGCTCTAGAAGGGTTCATGAACCCTGCTCATGCCTTTCTGAATTATCCACACTCAACTTTAGTACAAGTTGCATGGTGTCAAAATGCATTGCCTAACTTGTAGATACATTCATTTGGATGTGTGACTCAGTGGCGACAGCTTTTACTGCACACTGGCATTTCGTGTTAGATTCGTAGTTTTTCCTGTTCTTCTTCCTGACGCCTCACATCTTGTACTTGAGTCTCCCTGAAGGCCTAGCTCTTATAAAGTTGATGTACTAGGAGGCATTTTCATGCCATCCAGAGCTGGTTGAGACTTGTCTGCTGCCTTGATTGCGCTCTCTATGGCACCTTTTATTTAGTTTGGTAACATTTGTGAATGATTAGCAGTAAACGCAAAAAGTGCTCCTAAGGTCATTGGGATCTCATTAGTTTTGCAGCAGTTCTGTCATATATCATAGTGCTGATCAAATTAAAATCTCAGCAAGGCAAAGACACTGGAGGGAAAAGTCAGACGGAATCCAGAGGGGAACATCAATCTCTGTAGGCTACAGAGTTTCGTGGCAGCTCGCATGCCACTTAAAGACATTTTTCCTAAAATCCCCCAGAACGTCAGCTTTCATTCATGCTCCGTGGGCTATGTTTTGTACAGAATTTCATAGCAATCCACCTAATGGCTGTCAAGATATCAGTCCAGACTAAAAGTGTCAGCAGACCCACAGCACAACGCTGCGATCCCTGGAGCCCCAGAGTGTGGCTAAAACACATTTGCCACACAATGAGGCACACTGTTGCACTGAGTGATTTGTTCTTTCATTACACTGTCCTGAGGGTTAAACACTCGCTAACACATCAAATGTGCGTATTAATCTGCAGCTGAAAATAGTCCCCAACATACACACACACACACTGTTTGGTGGAAGTTTAATAAGTTTTAACATGCCTGGCTCTGTGGTTTGATTTGAGCGCCGCAGACCGTGAAAGTCAAAAAAGATTTAGAATGAACAAATTAATTGATTTGTTGTGGACCTTTAATGTAATTTTACAGGCAGCAAGAACAAAATATAATAATTCTATCTTTTTATGTGCAATTGAGTGTTATATTTGAGTACATAAGTTTATTTTTTTTCAACAGGACTCTTGCCATGGAATGCAGTACCAGGGAAAGCTTGTGGTATGACCCTGTCCAGTGTCTGCAAGACAAGAGAAGTGAGTACGGTAATATGAAACAACTCGAGGTCTGCTGTCATGTTGTACAATTTGACTGACATAACACAAATACAACATGTTGTATTCACTAACAATAATCTCCCCCTACTAGTACCGCATGACCTACGACCTCTACATCGCTGCCTTTGCCGGCGCTGGCATCACGCTCCTGGCTCTGGTGAGTGATTATGCTGAGGTTGAGGCCAGTCTGGCTGCAGTGTGGTAATATAACACTGGTGTTATGGCTCATGTGACTTAGTGACGCTCAGAGTGTAGGCGACAAGGCATCTCAGGCATCCATGACTGATGACCTCTGTACTGTTGCTCTCTGTTCCTCTTTCTCAGCTGATGCAAACATCATAATAATGCTGTAATGTCTGGTGTTCCAGCCATGCAAGCAAATTGTGCAGCCATTATACTCACATGCTTCATTACAGAAGCTGTTATGTTCGTTTTATTTTCTGACTCCTCTTGTTTCTCTTTGTCTTTTCATAGCTGACCTATACTATGTCAACCACCTATAACTTTGCCGTTCTGCGGTATCTGGGGAGAAAGGGCATAGGTGCACGGTGTTAGGACCCAGCTTCCTGTCTTTTCTGGCTTCACCACGAACATGGGAGTTTAAATCGATGGCAACTCTTCTTTTTTTATGTGATGTGCACACTACTACGTCTGCTCCTGGATTAATTTTTTTCTAAACTTGTTATATTTTTACTTTTCTTATTATAAGGAAGTTTTTTTTTTAATGGTTTTATGTTTTTTTTTTTTTTTGTGGGTGTAATTTCTGCTTTGAAATCGTACTTTCATTTTTTCTGATGTTTTTCAATCTGTGCCAAAATATTTGTGAATTATTGCTCTTGTTACTTGCCAAGTTCAATGTTTGAAATGAATTTCTGCCTCCCGCTGTACTCACAAATAACACAACTTTAACAAATTACCATATGTATTAAATGACCACTAAATTAGAAGATGTGCAGGTAGTTTGCAGCTGTTAATAAGAATTGGGGATTAGAGGTTACTATGGCTACCAACCATCACATCTGGCTGCCATGGTAGCAGACAAGCATGCACTTGCGGTCTTATGCTGACCTCCCGGACTTTTCTCACGGGCCGGAGAAAAGCTCCAACAATGGAGTCATGTCTTTTTTAAAAGCTAACCAATAAGAAGCCAGTTCTGGGGCCACCTGCACCATTACTCTCTGCCAGGGGTGATATTGCATGTCAAGGGACAGGGTCCTCTGGACAAAGAGAGGGTCAGACCTCTCCAGAGCCACAATGTAGCTGTTCTGGGACAGCAACAACACACACATACAACTCGTCCACATGCTGCTGCATGGACCCCACCCCCAACACCAACACCATGTAAAATGGATTCATGGTGAAGGGACAAAGGGGAATTTTATTTTGAATAGTTTCTTATTGACAAAGGGACAATTTGTTTTTGTTTAGATCTAGTGAGGTCTGAAATTGTTTCTCATAATGTTGAGATGGCAGAAGCACTAGGTGCTTATACTTGAAGTAACCTCATAATATAAGCCCAAAACCACTTTGTTGAGGTGTGATACCCCCTGCTGGTAATGAATGGCTGAGGTACTTAAATAGAAAAAGGACAGGTTTGTTTTGTGTCTAATTCTTTAGGGATTTTTGTTGTAGTTATTGTATAACACTTGTTTTTCACTTAATGTAGCTTTTTTTTTTTTTAACATCTGGATATTCCTAACAAAACCTTTTGAATCCTAAAAAGTAGACTTAGTGGAAGCTTAGCATAGCTTCTAATATTGGATTTGTCATGTTGCAGCAGTTTCATTTTCATATGTCAGTAATATTTAATTTAAAAAGAAGAAGAATGCTTTGAACTGTTTGTACACATGGCCTCTGAAAACATTTGTTTGTAGACTTTATGAAACCTCAGTGTCTGGTGTATTATCAGAATGTGAAGCTGATGGTTCATCCTTGGCTTTTTGCCACATTAGGAGGCCAAGGTGTTTTGTAAGGTGTTTTGTATTCTCTCCTCGTGTGTCCACAGGTGCACGGTTCCCTTCACTTGGCTGTGTACCAAGTCTACCTGAAGATGCTACGACACAGGGCAAAAAATGAGGAGAGAGGTTACGACCTGTATAGGAGACTGCAGAGGGACAGAGGAGGGATACTGCGCTCTCCGTACTCTGAGAACAACCTGTCTGACACCTTGTGAAAGGACATTTTGTAGTAGTTTTGCTAACAAGCTTTCTGCAATAACTGTAACACCAGAGCGTATCAACAAATGACACTGTTTTGTAGATTGTTCCACTTTAATAATATTGTAGAGGCATATTTCAACAGTTGGGGCATGATACAAAAGCAGGGTTTTTTTCTTAGCCAAGCATTACAACTTCGTATTTATCCTTATTTCAACACAATGTGCTGCATGTGAATAATTTCTATAGATTATGTACTTTTTCCTTAAAATGTACTTTTGAAGGCAAACGTGAAGATTTTCTTTCCTGCCTCAATTTAATTTGACAGTATGCAGCGGATCCTTCTATTGAAGGGAAAATAAAAATGTAGCACATGGTTTGATTTTTGTTTATAATGGAGAGGAACACCATTCACCATCAGGTTCCCACACATAGTCATTCAGTGACACTCAAGGATTTGATGCAATTTAAATACGGCACAGTTTGGGATTAAATCTGAAGCCGTTTTTCATTTGGGATATTGCTCCGAAATCCAGATGCTTCATTTTAACCTTTAAACGTTACAGATATCTGCTTTAAAAAGTGAAGTAGCTACTGCTAAAAGGGAACCAGTAGTATAGAGATGCATTTTAGTGACCTGTTAAGAGATTAAAAACAGGTTTAGGTATTGTTTTTAAAACTTTAATAACACACTCAAGGATTTTCAAGCAACATGTACCAAAAAAAAAAAAAGAAAAATAGGGTCTTTATTTGGTAGTTTGCATGATTTATTTGTAGCCAAGCACTGGAGCACATTCGTGACAGGCTTCTACTCAGCAGTGCAATAAGAAGGGAAGTTTTTCATTACAGTAACACAGAATCAAGATGAACACACTTAAGTTTCACACAGCTTAACTCGTACTCCTTGGCTGAGCACTGAAGGGGGAACGGATGTTAGGTGTTGTTTTGTACATCATTATAAAATGAATACAATTTACACAAGGACAAGCCCACAAAAAAATTAAAAATCAGCTTTTACATTCAATATTACAGCAACATTAAAAAAAAATACTGACATTAGGCAGGACTGCAGTGACACAGGGGATGGTATCGTGATACTGAAGGTTATAAATATTGGATTCTCAGGCATGTCAGACTTCAGGTAAACGCTGAGATGAGCTATATTGTTGAAACAGGATTAAACTGGAATCGTATTGTAAGACATCAGCCTTTTGTCTCATTACAGAAACATTAACACTGACAATAAGCAGAAAGCCCTCATTTTTGCTTTGAATTAATGTAGACTACCAGCCTGATATTAAAAGCCCTACTCACTTCACAGTTAAAAAAAAAAAAAAAAAATACCAGTACTCAAACACACAATCAAATGCATGAACTGTTGTAAGCCTACATTTCCAAAAAAGCACATAATAGGAGGATACGACAGTACCTGATTAGATTTGGTGCACTTTGAAAGTGAACCTCTTGTAATGTTCGCCATTAGTCTGCACGCTCACAGAAATATGATTCAATTTTGACTTGGAAGGCAAACACTGTGAGCCCACGCTGACGGACGACACAAGACCGCCAACGTTACAGAAACCGTTACGAGAACACAGGGGCTATAATGAGAACTTTATGCATCCCATAAAAAGAGAAATATTTTATCCGATTCGTGCAACTGAATTTGTTGCTTGAGAAGATGCAGTTTCAAGATCAAAATAATAACAATACATTTAAATGTTAAATTACATTCTTCAAAATGAATTTAAGCTATATTATTGTTTTAAAACAAGTTTTTTTTAAAAGCAAATCCCTCAGGCAGACAGCAGTAAAACAATGGGGAAGAAAAGTCAACAGTATCTGTAGAAAGTACCAAAACAACCCAGCTGAAAACAAGTAAATATCACTAAGTATCAGAATATGAGGTTGTACATTTCACTAAATACTGTTTAAATGGATATGGAAGGACTCAATCCATGTGGTCAAACTACCACATTCAGCTGAGACGTATAATAATTGAACTGACAGCAAAAAGTGTATGTTGTATATTGGCAGGAGCCCATCAGACTAGGCAAAGCTACAATACAGGAATCTTAAGGCCTACTGAACAATTCACAAGGCAGGCACAGGATTACAAAGGTGCCATTAATATTTATAAACCTCTCTACTCATCAGAACTTTAATCTGTACCTGATCAAACATTGAAGCCCAATTTTGTTAGATAAAAATGTAAAACTACAAAAAAAAATATAACACTTTGAAGGATGGGAATGTGCTTCACACAAAAAATAAACACTATCACCAGTAGTACTACTTCTGATTCTGGACCAACCCGCCCCCCCCCAAAAAAAACAACCTGGCCTTAGTAAACATGTACATAAATTACAAGAAGTAAAAACAATAATGTCTGATTCCCTGACACATCCAGCTACAATGCAGTGGAAGAAAAATATAATTAACAGAATAAGGGTAGCACAATTGTTCGCACCGTTGCTCAACTTTGAAACAGCAAAATTAAAGCTTACAATTCCCTTGCTACTGAAGACAAACAAGGTCATCTTCCTTTTGAGTGCAGCAATCGTTTAAATAACCCATACTTTCAATGCTGTTATCTCACTGATGTGGGGACTTCTGAAGCTCAATATTTGCCTGTACTGGGAACACTGTCATTCACAGACACAGTCAGTGTCAGGAAAATACATTAGCTCTCCAACAACTGCCGACACATCTCATAAAATGAGACTTTTTCATGAACAGAAAATGGAGCAGTGACTAGAGCTACTGTGTGTTAAGCTGCATTTCCACCTGAGCCTCTCTTATAACAAAAAGCTTCCTATAGACTATCATTAGTCTCCATTTCCTCTGCAGTGAAAGATCCATAGAGAAGCTGGACATATTAAAAAGTGTTGGCTGTTTTTTTGTTGTTTGTTTTTTTAACATGTCAGACTATTGAAATATATAGTAACCATGTTACACTGGCTGCCTCTGTCCATCTCAGTTATGTAGGTCTTTGTGCGCACACACACACAGAAAAAACGGAGCGGTCACAGTCAACGAGATGAAGCCTGGACAAAGTCTGGCATAGGCCTCTTCCCTCGGGGTGGTTTAGGGGTGAGAGCATTTCTAATGAGAAAAACTTCACCAACAATGCTTCTTCTGTTTATTTACTCTAGTTACTTTATTTACCCCAAACACAGAACTTATTTGGGCAGGATGTCAGCTATATTAACAGCTGTCAGGGCAGATTTTGCAAGTCATTTTAGATTTTTTTTCCATCTATTTTTTAATTAAGCCATTCTTGACCAATTTACTAGTTGACAGTCCCCTTGCTCTTATTTTGAAATATTAGTTGGCGTTAACCAGCTAGCCCCGGCCCTTCCAGTCCTATTTTCTGCCTTTCAGCAGGCTGACCAGAATTTCTCATCTCATGGACTCAGAATCCACAGTCTTGGACTCCATTTTTGTAGGTTTGTTTTTTCTGCTCTGTAGATGTGACCACTAACCACAAGACCACTAATAAACATCTGCAGCAGGTAGAGAGCAGCTCACATGTCACTACAGCTGAGAAGAGCAAAGACAATCATCTCCAAACGCAATTCAAGGAGGTGGACGTTTGTATCTGGACAATTCTGAAGCATGAACGACTCAGAAATCAACAATTGCTACAGCACGGTGTCGTGACATTATGTGTGGCAATATTGTATAAATACAGGCACATACAAGGGGACTTGAGTCAACTGGCTGCCAGCTGGATGTATTCTGGTTACATTCCTATAGAACGGGAAGGTTGCTGAGCACAAATGTGAATTTCTTTCTATCTATACAGCAACAGAGATTTGAGATTTTAAACAATTTACCACGGTTAATTTCTTGTATTATCAGAAATAGATTGCATGTAATTGTCAAGATGACCCCATTCAATCGCAGACTGATAATAGACTGACCCTGTCTTGTGGCAACATTTACCGCAGGTTTTAGTGACAGTGTTGGTGTGCTTGACGGTCTCATTTTGTATCAAAAGAATAAATGGAGTTAGATAATGTTATCTTATTGGATAGAACTGTTACAAACATTTACTCTGAGGATGAAATTTGCAGTTTAAAAAAGGTAATAAATGGTTAAAATGTTAAAAAAAATGATAAACGCTAAAAAAAAAAAAAAAAACCCACAGTAATATCTTATTGGAAGTAAAATACTGTAATAATAATATATTGTCTGGTGTGTCTGGTAGTACCCATCTAGTGGACAGATAGCTGAATATATCCGTTATTTATTTCTCCCAAAATATTTGGAAATTAAAAGAGTCAGAGGGGCACATTATATGAGACGCCATTTATTTTCATTTAAAAATGTGTGGGTGTGTGTAATTTCTGGGCACATTTACAAAGGCACCCCTGGTACCACCACAATTACAATCCAATTCTGAGCAAAACACTGCACTCTCTAGCTTACTCAACCACAACTGTTCTCTTCATATATATTTTTTTAGATAAACCAGGCAGACGAACCAAGTCTGAGTATTGTGCTTAACAACAGTAATCTCTGATATAAGCCTTAAAGTAAGAAAAATAAGCAACTGCAACAACTTGAAGTAAGATGACTAAGATGGACTGGCTGAATGCTACAAGTTTAGTGCTGCAAACATTATTACCACTGTTCCTAAACCAAGGGAAAACACTGTTGCACAAACAAGAGCTTTTTGGAGGTAAACATTTCCCAGAGAATTTAATCTTTAGACCTTTGTCCCTTTGATGGAAACATACAGAGTCCTTTCAAAGGCTCCTAGTCCCTTAGGAAAGTTCCTATGGTGGAAACACAGCTTTACAGAGCAAAAAAAGGAGTGCTCTTCAAAGGTGGATTGGTATATTCTTTGTTCAAATGCATTAATTCCAAATTATATTATTTTGATTAAAGTTAATCCCTTAAATGCACTAGATGCTATAGTCCCTGCACAAGCTGGAAACAATGGTTTGTACCATACTACTGGCAGCACAGCTTGTAAGTGTGCCGGTACCTTTGTAGGAGCAATAATTCAACATTCTAGAAACCAGCTAAATCCTTGATACGCCTCCTCAGAGCAGGTGTATCCTATTCATATTATCTTCAGGGAATACTGCACTCAGTACCTTGTACCAACAGTACACGTACCATAAACAATATATGACTGGCTCTTAAAACTACCACAGGCAAGTTTCAGCCAGAGGGATTAAAACAGGGTGGATTCACACCTATCCAATCAGCAACAAGATCTTCGGGAGGTTTTGCGGTTTCCATGGAGATCAATAGTACTACTCAAGAGCGCATGATCAATCTGGTCCTCAGCAGCCAGAACCTCCCTGACAGCTGCCTCAAACGCAGCGGTGACATTAGTGTCATCTTTAGCACTGGTCTCAAAGTAAGGGCAGCAGCCGTTCTCTTCGCACCAGGCCCGCGCTTCATCCTCCCCAACCTCCCTCTGCTCCATGTCTATCTTGTTGCCCAGTACCACAAAAGGGAACCGCTCAGGGTCTTTGACGTCAGAGTAGTACATGAACTCCTTCTTCCAGCTGCCCAGGTTCTGAAAGCTCTGCAGGTTGTTCACGGCAAATGTGAGCAGGCAGCAGTCGGCGCCTCGGTAGAAAGGTGTACGTAGTGACTTGAAGCGCTCCTGACCAGCTGTGTCCCATATTTGAAGAGTGACAAGGCGTCCATCCACTTCCAAGTCCCGATTAAGGAACTCCACGCCGATGGTGTGGAAAGACTGGGAGTCAAACCGGTCTGTGACATAGCGGTTCATCAAGGAGGACTTGCCCACTCCACCATCTCCCAGTAGGATTACCTTGAGCAGCAGGTTCTTCCCACTCATCATGCCACCCACCCAACTAGGCCTCCTCACAGGGCTAAAGTCCTCCCCACTTGGTGGTAAACTGGGGTGAACCTAACCTAGAAACAGGAAGGGTGAAAATGAGATGTGGAAATTACTGCTGGTCATTGGGATATGAAACATAATGACTTCTCAGAAAACATTTAAAAGCCAAAGCAGTCTGTGGGTTTGTGTCCGCTGATGATTCAGAGTAGGTAATTAGAGGAACAGTCAGCAGCCACAGGATAACTGTTATAACTTGGAAGTAAACCTTTCTGCGTAATTAAAATCACATGACAGAAGTGTAATGGTTGACTAGCTTCAGGGACAAAATGACGGGGTGAAGGACCGAGATGTCTTCCAAAGGTCTCTGGCGTAGAAAAATACAGGGCAGCAGACAGCCCTGCTGTTTACGACATGAAACTATAATACTGGCTAGTCCACACATTATGCACTACAGTGAACAGATGCCAACTACAGATTAGGAAGTAAAAATTAAACATTAAAGAAAACGGGGGGGTTTTTTGTAGTACATCGTGAGGAAAACCCCGACACCACAACCGGCTGACCATAAATCCACTGCACCTGCGCAAACCACAAATATGTACCAGCTTGCCAAACTGTGGCTGTTAGAAAACAAAAACTCGCTGAACTCTCTTGTCGATGCTGTTTGTGAAACTGTCCGCAGAATTACTTCAGAGAAGAAGTTAAATGGGAACCGAAACAGGTAAGACTTCTAAATCACGCCATGCGAGACAGTAAAGCGGTTGTAATGTATACCGGCTTAGCAACCCTCCTATCAAACTAGCAAGCTAGCCGACTAGTCTGATGCCTTGTTGACATTCCATCCCGGTCAGGCTAACCGTTAGCTCTAATTTATATGCGGCTCAGAAGAGTTTTAAAAGGCGACGCAGTTACCAGTAGCGACTATTGCAGTGGGCTGGTGTTTTCAAAACTGAATGCATATCGTAGAAACATTTATTTCTACTTACCCTGCTTCTGGTAGGTCCCGCTACCCTACATCTGACTGAGATTCAGTGTCGTGACGTGCGCGCCCCATCGCGGACCTGCACGTGCACACCGCCCAAGCAAAGCGGGGTCCTAAAGCCCGTAAAATGAGCGGATACCCCAAATGATAAACAAACGGAAGTAAAAACGTAAGCAAGCATACATTAAATGCTAGTAATCTTAGTAGGCATCTTAGTAAAAAACATCATTTATATGCTTTGCTTTTTGTAAAACTGTGAGTTTGAAAATGAATGGATAACAACAATAATGATATTTTAGCGTTAACCTTTACAGAAACACAAATAATTTTGGAAATTATCAGTACTGTTAATTTAGGGCATCTGTGGCATAAATCGTACATTGGGTCGTGGGTAATCGTTTTGCTAAGAACTGTAAGTTTGTAACATTTTGCATTTCAGTTCAGTCTGAATAAAAGCTGGATTTATGAAAAATGTGCAAGAATTTTAGTAAATCTTACTATTTGTCTCTTTCTACTTTGTTGTCCAAGCATAATTTACTGATTACTGATTTACTGATTATTTTCCAACCCGTTTAAACCCAGAACTGGACTTAATTTCCCTTCTCTAACAGTGGTTTAGTGACAACTATTCATTCTCTGAGAAAACTAACCATCCTTCTTTTGACGCATCTACTTGATGTGATGAAGTGGCCTTTCTGTCTCTCAGTAAACAAAACCAGATGCTCTGACCTGACAGTTGAGCTGATGTGGTTTTCACTTCAGGTCTGCTAAATGTTACTCTGGATGCATTTCATGGCACTGACCTCACAGGGGTGGCCCCCTCTGCTAAACTCTGTGTAGCCATGATGTGAAACTGACTTCTGGCACTTTTTACTTACACAAAAATCTGTTAACTGAGTTCTATTGTGAGACTGATATTATTTTTGGAGATCAAATTATACAAACTCTTCAACTGCTCATTCCACTGTTGAAGTCTAAATATCTACCGTAGACTTTAAAGTTCTACGTTTGACCTGTGAAAACTGAAAACTGGATCATGATTGGTTCCCCGCCTCATTCCAAAGTCACAAAGTCATCTTTTAAGTATGAGTTTTAAACTCTGGCCTAATTTAATTTAACTGACATTAAACATTAATTAGATTTACATAAAATTTAACCGATATTAATTTAACTTACATTAAATCAAGTCAACCGAAAAACCATCCAATACTGGACACACAAAGCTGCCTCCTCATTTGGAGCAAGCTAATGGCTCAGTCACACGAGCCATTAGCTCATGAATTTCTCAGCGAAATTTCTCCCTTTAGCAGAAACTACGAACACATCCTGCAGTGCCAAGCTTTATGCAAACGTTCTTCTGCACAGTCAAGCTCAAACCTCAAAAATGTAAAAGTAATAAAAATGATTTTTTAAATGGGAAACATCAGATTTACACTAACATCCAAATCAAGATCTGCCAGTGTTGCACTGTAGTTAACAGCAGTAAAGGCGAACTCTTTTCTACTCAGCAAGACTGATGGCAATAAGCTGGCAATCTGTCTGCATTTATAAATTAGACAACAGTTATTAGCAAACCTTTGACAATCTCTCTCGGAGTGACTGTAGTTGGTCCAGGTCAGACTGTGACTGTTGCAGAAAGGTTGTCTCCTATCAGGTGACCTATGCAATCGTCTTGTGATCAAAAGTTGTCGTGAGAGTGCAACACCCTCAAGCTCTATGTAGCCATTTAGTTACCACAATCTCCAATTGGTTGCAGAATGTGACAAAAATTCAATACAATCACCAGGCAGCCACCATAGATGCAAAGAGATTGCTGTCCCTTCCTTGTGACTGAGCCTTTACCTTACTCTGAATTAGGAGATAGCTTTGCAAGAAGTGTACCCACTGTGGTATGGTTTTTCGGCTGAGCCGATTTAATGCAAGTTTCCTCAGATAATCAAAGGAGCTTGCAAAGAAAAGCGTCTGGACTTCTTTAAGTTGCTTGAAGACGTTTCACCTCTCATCCGAGAAGCTTCTTCAGTTCTAAGGTCAAATGGTGGAGAGTCCCAGATATAAACCTAGTGGGAGTAACCCCCCACAGAGGGACAAAAGGACCCCCTGATGATCCTCAGATAATCTTATTTTAAGACATAAAGGACGTGTTATTAATTCTGCTAATGTTGTTTGCGTTTAGAATGACTTTTGTATTTGCTTAAAGTTCATAGAAATCTCTAGGGTTTTTTTTTATCTTAAAACATATACTCTATGTTTTTATGTATGATTTGTTGTGTTTGTTGTGGCAAAATCCGTTAAGTATCAAAAGATTCTGAACTGAACCTGTCTGACCCAATCTTACTCCCGGGCTGTAGGTGGCGCTAGAGTGAGATATTTTTGAGACCTAGAGAAGAAGAAAATCAGGACTCTACAAAAAAAAAAAAAGAAGTCAGCTGTTAACTGATGTTTGGGGCATCTCGTTAGCACTGCTCATCAAAGCGAGCTTACGTGAAAAGTAGCGCTAGATGTTTTATTTTGTAAGCTAAGAAAAAGCCCCTTTCACGTGTTTCCCGCGGAGATGATGGTAGGAAACAGTGTGAATATTCCGATGTTTCTCCATGCTCTGAAAACACTGGCTCTGTAGAGTAAGTCGCTGGATTGTTTACGTAGCGGATCGCATTTATAAAGAAAAGCAATCATACTGCTGTCCCTACACAGTAATGTGGTGTTTATTTTAAATGTGTGTCTTTGTTCAATTCACCCCTGCAGATGGCGGGTAGGAGCAGACTTCTGCCCTTTGCTTGTCTGGGGTTTTTCGGGGTCCTGTGCTGGGTCTGGGTCTCCTTTGCCTCCTTTCCAGATGACCAGGTGCTTCCCCTGGAGGCCTTGGATGCACTTGACCGAGGAGCCTTTCAGCCTCAGAGTGCTCTCTCAGAGATGGAGTTTGCCTCCGTGGTTTCATACAGAGGACCAGGGAACCGCGACCGTCGCAGTAACAAGGAGCTGCCCATTCTCCTCTGGTGGAGCGGTGGGCTGTTCCCACATTTTCCAGGCGACACTGAGCGCATTGACTGTGCCACGTCCTCCTGTCTGGTCACGAGCAATCGTAAGGTACCCGAGATACTTACCCTCCTAAAACACCTTTCATGAATCTCCTGCCTTGGACAGGAGGAAGATGCATGTACACATTAATAATAATTAGCTTCTCGGGTTGCTCTGCAACTAATCTTGGGGTTGATCTTGAAAGGTGCAGCTGTACAAACGGACAACATCCATCATCTTTTATGGGACAGACTTCCGGGCATATGAGGCGCCTCTCCCTCGTCTCCGCCACCAAACCTGGGCACTGTTCCACGAAGAGTCACCTATGAATAACTATGTCCTCTCTCATGGGCCGGGAATCCGGCTGTTCAATTACACCGCTACGTTTCGCAGGGAGTCAGACTACCCCTTGACCCTTCAGTGGCTTCCTTCTCTGGAGTACTTGCTGGAGCCTGTCGCTGTGTCCTTGGAAGAGAAGAACCGCCTGAGGAGGGAGGGTCTGGCTCCAGTGCTCTACATGCAGTCTCACTGTGATGTACCGTCAGACAGAGACAGATATGTAAAGGAGCTCATGAAGTACATAAAGGTAAAGTGCAGAATAATTCAGCTGTGTAATAACCACAGTGAAAGAGATTATGGTCCTGTGTTTTTTTTTGTTTTTTTTAATGAAAGATATAGCGGTCCGTTACCCTTAATGTTTTTTTTCTGCTTTACACAAATGCCGAGATTCTTTCTCAGTGGTAAATATCTCTTCTTATTTTATTACGCACTGCACAGCAGATAAAAATCACTAATCTTTGTGCTTCCAATTGCAATAGCAAATGTGTAAATGTTTTGTATAGAAAATACTCAGTGGAACAGCCAAATCTGTCATTGTGTAATAATTAATCTGTTCTCAGATATGCCCTAACTGTGTCTCCCATCTTTCCAAACATTATCTCTGTGTAGATCGATTCTTATGGGAAATGCTTGAACAACAAACCCCTACCAGAATATCTGGAGGACACAGCCACTGCTACCGGTGAAGAACCAAAATTCATGAATTTTGTGGCGCGCTACAAGTTCCACCTGGCTCTGGAGAATGGCCTGTGTCCAGATTACATGACTGAAAAGCTGTGGCGGCCTCTACACCAGGGGTGCGTTCCCATTTATCGAGGTGCCTCCGCGGTGGCGGACTGGATGCCCAACGACCGCTCGGTGATCATCATAGATGACTTCCCCTCACCCCAAGCTCTTGCCGACTTCCTCATACATCTGGACGAGAATGACGATGAATATGCTAAATATTTAAAGTTCAAGAACCCCAGCCGCATCACTAATACTCGTTTGCTAGAGTCACTGAAGACCCGCGAGTGGGGGGTGAATGACATGAGTAAACCCAACTACCTGAATGGATTTGAATGTTACGTATGTGACCAGGAGAATGCTCGATTAGCTGCAGAGCATGCACATAAAAAGGCCCCTAAGACGAATCAACCACCTCGGCCTAAAATGGCTAATAACTCTCACATGGGTTGCCCGCTCCCCAGTCCGGGATATGGAGACGTCAAAGACTTACCTTCAGATGATGGGTGAGTTTGTCTTTAAATGAACAACAGCACCAGGTGTGAACACAATTTTTTTTTTTTTTTCCCTGCACTGAAATGTGAACAATAATGTCCTGCGGGGAGTGAAATCGGTCTGTTTTAATAGTCTAATTAAAATATCCTCTGTGATGAGCCTAATCTGTTTGTTTATCTGTCTGCAGATGGTTGCAAATATGGCCTCAGGATTACTGGCAGAGCCTCGACCAAGCAGAGGGGCTGGAGTCTCTGATAAGACACAACGAGTCAGACCCTTCTCTGCTGTGGAAGCACATCCAAAGCATTGCTGTGAGCAGAGCCAAAGGAAAACACTGACACAGGCCTTGAAACAAACAGAGGATGGAGTCCGTCCAGGATTATAGGAGTGCCCCAGATTATGTATTCCCCCCTCTTGTTTAAATGAGGGAATGAAGTACACATTGCTCATAGTTTTGCACCCAAGCCAACCCCACCCCCTTTTTACCCATGTGAGTAGTTTAGTTATCCTGAAACAAATTTTGCTATTTTGTTGAGCTGACATTAAACTTTGCCTTCATCCCACGCTCAGTAATGGGAAAATAACATTCTAGACTTTTATATGCGAATATTTTCCAACCGGTTTTTATCACCGTAGCTGAGTTTCCATTATATTGCCCATAGTTAGTATTAACTATTTGGAGGACCATTGTCCAAATGTGCACACTCTCATGGGATGCGCCTTTTCATTAGACTGGGGCAGAGCCAAAGACTTGTCCTCTGTACCGTGGGAGCTCTGCCTAACTGTGTGTGAAGACCATCAAGACGGTAGCCAAATGACTGCATCAGCTTCTTTACAGTTACTCAGCAGGTAGCTGATGGCTATTAGCTAAAATCCCATTTAGATGCAAAGCTATTGTGACTATGCAAGGAAAATATTATTTTGCCAAGCAGAGGAGAGGTGCAAATGTAAATTTAGTACAACCTCGCATTGGGATGTTACCAGAGTTCTCAGGATCAGCTCAGCTTGGAAAAACTCTGATTTTTATGTTAGAATATCACCTTGTCTGACAATTTTCTGTTACATCATTTAGGATCATGTGCAATAACTACCAATCATTCTTTTCTGAAACACTCTTGACTCATGTATCTGGTAGCAAACTACTTTTATATGACATGGATACACCAGGATTATAGAAATTGTTTTATTTTGCTAACAAAGCATCATACATGCAAACACTATTTTGTATCAAGAAGAGCAAAAATTAAGTAAACATTTTGTAACCAAGTTCTTTTTTTTTTTTTTTTTTTATTTCCTATTGTTGCTAAATTCTTGTATCCCTCTCACCAGTATTAATCTGTTCACATCAGTGTGTGATGTTGGACAGACGTATCCTTCATAGTAAACCGAAGCAGATAAAGCTTTCACCACCATCAAAACACAACGCAAGGTTTTAAAATATGTCATTATCAAGTTTAAGAAATCATACTCGCCGGTCACTTTAAGCTACATTAATCAGGAGTTCAAACAAATGCAGTGCAAACTTTGAAAAAAAGAGCAGTTCTCGCTTTGTGCGCGAATTAACATGACAGAAAGGAGAGAGAGAGGAGGTCTGCGAAGCTCTTGATGATCAGATGGCCCTGTAGCAGGTCTCGCAGTGGACTTTCCCACCGTGCAGGAACATACTGTGGAGAAGGTCTCCCATGGGTTTCTTACACATATCACACTGAAAGATAAGAAAACCACGTGATAACGCCTTGATGAGAAATGTTTGCAGGAAAACGATTTGAGCCACAAAAACGTAATTATCTGGTTAAACTTGCCTGGACTGGCAATAACAACAAATATGATTATTATTATTTAGGAAAAAAATTATTCATTGTATCTGACTAAATTACCTTGAAGCAGGAAGGATGGCAGTTGATGTTAAGGTGCTCAATGGTAATCTTGGCATCATTTCCCACCTGCTCTCCGCAGTATGTACAGGTAGATGACGGTGGGATCCTGGAGTAGCTGATTGAGAAAAGATAAGTTGATCACTGAATCAGGAACAGGTACAGTGCACTGAAGCTCAGTCTGGTTGAATAACAAGATATTTGGAGTCCTATGTGAGGGAAATTAATAAGTGTAAATAATCCTTTGATGTCCATGCTCAGCCTCTTAATGAGCAGGCTTGGTGGAATTTCTGCCCTTCTGCTTGCACGTATCTAGTTTTGTCAGTAGCGGAAATAACAAAGTGGGGGAGAAAGAGCTGCGGCTTATAGTTGTGGTTGCGGCTTTAAAACGCGTTTAGGGAATAGTCTTATTTATGGAGGTGCCGTAGGGATAACCAAGAGGCTACACATGCTCAGCACTCGAAATATGTAACTGAAATATGTCAAATAGTGTAAACGGTAAAACAAATGCTAGTAGTTGCGTAGAGATACTAAAAGAAGAAGGTGAAATGTAAGCACCATGGCAACCCCCACAGACTCACATGTTAAAATAATAAAAAGGAAAAAAACAAAACGTGTTTACAACCTGGTACAAAAAATGTTTGTCTTTTTTATCTCCTTGAAAACTGCAGGTGCTCAGTCATAACTGCTATCTGTCTTCGAAGCAGAATCTCAGCTGATTCATGTCACTGAATTTCTCAACTGTGTCTACAGAATCTCTGTTTTTTGGAGCATTTTTTAGTCTGCCAAAATTGGATAAAATATGGCTTGCTTTGTGATTAATTGTACCAAACAGCAAGCCAACCAAGAAGCCTGTGCTCAAGTTGTTTTTCAGTTGTTGTGTTTTTTAATTAGGTGAATTTCTAATACTCTTTTATTTTTGTCAGAGCTTATTAGCAGGTATCCAGAATTGTAAAATAGAGTTTATGGCTCCAACCTGCCAAACAGGCTATCAAAATACTGTCAATTTTGAATACAGGAAATAAAATGTAGCCAAAATGCCAAACAAGCATTTTAGCCCTTGCATGCTGTTTGAAGCCAACTTGACTTAATGTGACAGCAGTAAAAATACCTAAATATCATTCTCCATCTATTCTCCTCTGCTTATCCTTGTCATAGTTGCAGGGGGGCAGGAGCCTAGCCCAGTGTATGTATGTATGTATGCATGTGTATATATATATATATATATATATATATATATATAGAGAGAGAGAGAGAGAGAGAGAGAGAGAGAGAGAGAGAGAGAGAGAGAGAAGAGATTTAAGAGAGATATAGAGATATAGAGATATATATATAGAGATATATATAGAGATATATATATATATAGAGAGATATATATATAGAGATATATATATATAGATATATATAGAGATATATATAGAGATATATATATAGAGATATATATAGAGATATATATATATATAAATATATATAATATATATATAGATATATATATAGTATATAATATATAGAGATATATATAGAATATATAGAGATATATATAATACACTTTAGAGTAGATATACTATATATATATATATATATATAGAGAGAGAGAATATATGAGATAATATAGATATTAGATAGATATGAGAAAGATGAAAGATATATATAGATATATGATAGATGAGAGAGAGAGAGAGAGAGAGAGAGAGAGAGAGAGAGAGATAGAGATAGAGATATATATAGATATATATATATATAGAGATATAGATATATAGAGATATAGATATATAGAGATATAGATATATATAGATATAGATATATATAGATATAGATATATATATACACACACACACAAATGTGTATATATAGTTCAAACTTTGATAGAGAGACGTCTAGGTCTGGTTCAAAAGTGAATGTGCAGTATTTTCCTGCCATAGGTTAAAATGTTGCTATGTAAGATTTATTCCTGAAACATGTTCAGATTTATAAACACTGATTCCAGCTGAAGTACTTGAACTGTGAGAACTGAAAATGGACACAGTAGCAGCAGGTTAAACTTACACAGCTAAAAGGGTTTGAAGTGTAATTAAGAAGGAGTTTTGAGAAACCCATGAATACAGTTTAAATGACGTTAGTGGGGGGGAAAAGCTGAACTGCCATTTAAAGAGCAAGAAGTGAAAGCAGTTAAAGTATTGAGAGAGAGGCAGAGCTCAGATTGTGTTATTACCTGGAGTAAAGAGATGGGCTGCTGTAAGAATAGCTGGTGGAGCTTGAAGTCAGGTAATCTGACCTACTATTGGAAACAAGATCAATGAGTAAATCATCATGAGGGCAGTGCTTGCAGTTTTTTAAAGCAGTATTTTATATCAATATGGCAGTTGACTGTAAATAATTTATTGGCCCCACCTATTGAGCGTGTCTCTGGGGTTCTGCAAGGACGTCTCAGTTGCATTGACATACTCCTTCACAAACACAAACGGCCTTAAAGGGGAGGCAAAAGGTGGGTTAATACACATAGCTAAAATATATACACAATTGTGTTCAGAGGTTTGCATATACTCATCATGGGTATGAATTTCATGATGATTTTTTTTTCAAGGGTGGAATGATTGCATGACATACAACTTTAATGGCTTGAAAAAAATTGGATACACAACATAAATATTTTAATAAGTAGTCCTAAAGCTTCAATGCCTTTTAACTTGACAAGCCAAAGCTCGCTAACTTCTCATTAGTGAACATGACTGACTGGTAGTTTCTCTTTGCCAGCATAAAAAGGATTTGTTTTAATAATACTCATTGGACTGACAAATACTCAGATGTTCACTGAGTTCCTTGGACTTTTCCATTGTTCCAAGAAGGAGAATTGTAGATTCACATAAGTTGAGAGCGTCTTTGGAAGCCATTTCTAAACAACCGCAGATTCCAGGTTTATCAGTTCAATCACCACTTTGCCAAAATCCAGAAGAAGACTCAAACTATCACAAATTGCTCCTGCTCCAAAATCGACATTTTCAAACTTGAGTGAAATTTGCGGTTGTCCTCATGGACAGATCAAATGCTTTTAGGAGAAAAAGATTTATGGCCAGACAAGACAAAGATTGAGTTATTTGGTCATAATGATAAGAGGTATATTTGGAGGAGTCAAAGGTGAGGCTTTCAAACCTAAGAACGCTGTCAAGCATGATGGTGGTAGCATCATGCTCTGGGCTGGTTTGCTGCTAGTGGTACTGGTACACTGCACAAAGTGATTGGAATAATAAAGGAGGACTACCTCCAAATTCTTCACCTTTACATCCAACCAACAGCTAGATGGATTTAATGTGGACACAACTGGCTGTTCCAACAGGACAATGATCCCAAACACACATCAAAACTGGTTTTGAATGGATAAGGCAGGCTAATATTATGGAATAAGCTTCCCAAAGCCTTGACCTCAGTCCTATTGAAAATTTGTGGAATAGGATTAAAAGCTGGGTCCTTGGTAGCAAACCCAAGCAATTTAAAATAACTCCAATTCTTTCAAGAAGAGCGGTCACATATCCAGCCAGAATTATTCCAGAAGATTGTTCATGCCTACCGAAAGCATCTGAGTGTAACTGGCTAAGGAACATTTAACCAAATATTAGTGGACGTGTATGTACATATGTCTGAGCCTGTGTATGTATACTTTTCAACAGTTCAAAGAAATAATTTAAAGCCCCAAATTATCTTGACGTTTACACCCGCCATGAGTGTATTCAGGATTTTGACCACAATTACATATGCTGTCAATCCAAATTAAATTTATAGTTTGTACAGTCACTCACTTTTTGGTTTCAGGTTCTGGGGTTTTGACTCTCTGCTCCTCTTCTCTTATGGTCCTGGAATAGGTATCAAAACTGGAGACATGCAACGTGCAGCAACATTAGTCTCATCTTTTACTCAATGATGGCATTACAGTGATGGGTTATAGAGAAAGACCCCACATCTGTCAAATGCAGCCCAGGAGATAATCACTTCTGCCACTGCTTGTTAATGACAGGCTGGTTAACGGGCTGTGATTTGACAAAAGGACATCTCTAATACACATCATTATTCTGACATCTGGAGGCTGATAATTAGAGGGAAGGAAATGAGGGCAAATTGAAAGACAATGGAAGAGCAGATCTTGTCATTCAACTTCAGTAATAGAGTTGAAATGGAAATCTGTCTAACCGGGTGTCATGATGGAGTTACAGGTAACTTTCACGGATAACTTTCAGTTGCTAACCATTTTCAGTTACGCCTACTAAAAATGGCTGCGTTACAAAGAGACAAAAGCAGATCCAGAAGGTGAAAGCGTAACACAAACCCACACGTGCTAAATATTCGATGGCGTGCATTTGTTTTTAGATACATTTCATAAAATAACCATTTATTCCACTCGTTGAAGAACAGGTAAATGTAAGTTTCATGCAACACCGCACCATTGCTCAAATTTCTAGAGGCATGAAAGGATTTAAAAAGGAAAAAAAGGGGCAAGCCAGTGTTGTTACAAAAGTGAGAAAATCAACAGACGAGAGAGAAAATAACCCTCTGCATTACGCTGTCTGACTTTACAAGATCATAAACTTACCGATCCATGGAGGGCTCAGGCTCACTGCGTATCTCCCTGGAAAGTAAAGAAAACAGTGTTAGACTTTTATAGTAGGCTGAAGCAGTCAATAAGCTGGACGCAATCCAGTAAGCGAGACCGCTGCATTTTTTAAAAATGTGTATGAAACTGATCTTTCTGGCTCACAGCTCCACTAGGGTCACGGTTTATTGACCAGATGTGGTCTGCTTTATATAGTACTGCACTACTGCCTGATCTGAGGCCCTCCTCCCAAGCAGTGTGATTGTAACCTCCACTTATACATCTTCTCATGCTCTTAACCTGAGCCCTTCTAATCTCTACAGTTTTCAATCTCAATACGCAAAAAAACTCTTTTCCCTACCTGATGGTAGTGATAGTTGTGACCGTTTGTGTATCCTCAGTGCTACAAAAGAGACAAAATTCCTGCATTATAATGAGTTTGTACAGGTAAAGATAAGACAATATTAAAGTTTTAAAAGAAAAAAAAAGAACAAGCTGAAAAAGTTAATTATTCTCCGACTGAGCCGGGAGGATGTTTCATCTTGTGTTCAGCTTTCTTTCAATTAAATGCTTGACAGCCACTGAATTTTAAGGTGCTATAATCACATCCTACTAAAATAGTTTCAAAAAGGTGCTTTAATGTGCATTTAATGAGCTCAACCATACCGAAGATACCTTCCCTGCTCCTCTTCTTGCTTCTCTTCTTCTTCTTCGTCGTCGTCGTCCTCCTCCTCCTCCTCCTCTTCTGTGGGGATGGTATAGACAGTCGGTGATGTCCATCGGTCCCACGGAGAGTCATTCTCAAGGGACCTTGAAAACAAACAAACAAAGACATAGCAGCATTGGAAGATGGCCGGTTCACATGATGTTTATTCTTCCAAAGACAAAAAAGGTAGAGGGGGGAGTGGGGGGGGTGTACCTCAGTTGTGAGGGAAAGTTGTAACAAATATATGTCTGACCTATTTTCATCAGCGCCAGTGCACAATGTCTTCCGACTCGGTGAGCAAGGTGCTGCAAGAGTCTCGCTACTTCACCGCGGTGAAAAGGGAGGAGGTTACAGAAATAAAAAGGAGCCAATATCCAAGATCACTTACTTCCTCTCAAACATGATGACTGTCTGTTGATCTTCAGCTTGGCCTTCTGCTTCTGGTTGCGCTTCTTGGCTGAGAGGGGAGAGACATTGAAAGGCTTTTAACACGCAATGGACACGGATGGGTGAAAGTAGATGAATGAAGCACAGAGTGTATAGTGTGGGGGTGCAAAAGTACATCAAAGCATGTCATCACCTCTCCTCTGTGTTCGACTCCTGGACTGTGCTGGTTTCCCATGACCGCTGAGTGCTGATGTTAAAACAGCCAAAGTGGGGAGAGATAGCAAGAGGGAGAGGGAGAGGGGGAAAGGATTTGGGAATTGTGACAGATGAAGCACATCAGACAACGCTCAAGCAGGAAGGTTTGAGAAAAAGATTTCTGTGGGTCTGCACTTTCCCTTCCACTCCCATTTCTCAATCATAGATTCATCACAGAAGTATGCAACTGAGTTGGTTCAATACCTTGTTTTGTCAGTGTTGAAAGGGATGATGTCATCTGCAAGGGACCGCAAGGCATTACTGCCCATACTGTCAGACACACAAGAGAGAAAGCCATCAGCATGGCTCACTCACGAGTATTTCTTTCTTTCGTTCTTTTTCTTACATTTGCAGTTTAGTTTCCTATAATGAATCATTTCAGGGGCAACTTTGTTTCAGGTGCCAGAGAACGTTTCTACAGATTTCCCGATGGCAGGCAATCTCCCTTTCCTCACAGTTCCAGTGTAATTGGTGTGTAACTGTATGAATGGGTGCATAAAAAACTCATTGTGGAGGACTTTGTAGAACCCCCTAATGCTAAAAATGTCCCCAATACTCACAATATTAATTTTTCTTAAGCTGAAACATGTAAGCAATAACAAACTTATTCTGTTTCTGAGCTCTTTTCCATTAAAGCAGGTAATGCACTAAAATTAAAACAGAAAACAAATAAGTAAATCAGCTTGAGCATGTCAATAGATCCAGACTCCTGGTGCTTCTTGCATCACATCTACTGATTATGAATAACAATTCTCGCATTAGCTTACAAACTAAAGCAGTTGTAGTAATGAGGAAACCGTGTGCTAACATCGGCGCCACAAACAGAGGTTACAGTATCGAAAAAGGGAATTTGCATTATCATTCCCGTACCTGTTGATGGAACTATCAGAGAGGGGCTGGCGCAGGTCAGAGGAGCTGGAATAGAGAAAAGTGTCTCATAATCAGAAACTGCTGAATTATGCATGCTGAGATGCTATCTGTCTTGCAGGAAAACAGTCATAGCTCCAAACCAATATGATTACCTGTTAGGGGATGTGGTCCCTATCGGATATGGATCAAATGGATCAGCCGAGCTGAAAAACAATTTCACACTGATTTCACTCTCAATTGTCAGCGTTGCCCATCTTGTGTCGAAGGAATTCTGATCACATTGACTCATAATGGAAAGATTTAATGCAGTTTGAATGGTAAATAGAAACACGGAGGGACGTGGGGCAAAACTCAATAAAAATCAGAATCAGGATGTTGCTGACAAATGGAAACACTATTCCACTGCTGAACAGCAAAATCTGCGGACTTCAGGATTTCTTCACCTAAGATTAACCCTTGAACAATTACACCAACCCGGTCATTTATATTATCAAGCTGCAGTGAAACCGTGTGTTATTATTTACTATTTTTAAGCACACTGGTTTGCATGTGACATGTGACAGTAAATAAACTACCTTGATTTAGTGACTACGGTTGTCACTGTTGTCACACGTGAGCTCCAGGGATCCGCATTGTCCTCTTCACTGCACAGCGGTGAGATAGAAGTAAGGAGGGCGGTACGGATGAATGGCATGATGGGAAGAGAAGAGAGGGCAAGTAAAGGTTAGTGTGGTTGTTCTCATACACTATTTAAAATGTCTGTCCTTTAGTAAAGCTCAAGATGCACTGAACTATTTAGCAATCACAAAAACCATCTGAATAAAGCACAGACTATAGCTTTGTATGCTGTCATGCTTTTTTAGGTAATGATCACAGTTTGGTCATTATAGTGACTCTGTGTCTCTGTGGGGTTCGCTGGCAGCATAGCTGCAGGCAGACTTGTTATAAATCATTACAAGCCGTGTGTATGGAATGCATTTCTTGGAAGGAACAGTTCTGCATAGATAGATAATTGTTTAAGAGCAGCCTGTCATCTCCCGCTACCTTTGTGTTTCTTTGGCTGTCTTGTCTGTCTGCTTCTCCTCCTCTCGCTGCATGCTGAGGCTGGTGGAGACAAAACAAAGCAGCAATACTAATCAGTACAGAGCATTCCCTTCTATTTCCAGTCGTGCTGCAGATGAAAGCTGGCTTTCCCTTTCAAAGTCAGTCGTTTCAGGAATTTGAGACTTTGGTTCTATTTAACGTGGAGCAGGAGGTTAAAATAGAAAATGCCAAACGGGAGCGGAGCCCTGCTTTGTGGATCAAACTGAAGGAGGGTTTATCAAAGTCTTTCAACTCAGCAAGCCGGGATCTTATTAATAATAAGGATGCATAAGCAAGGAGCGTGAGATGGGAGGAGAAGCCGGTCTGTCTCTTTCTCACCTGTGTGCCTCTGTGCCTCTTACAATGACATCATTTGCCAGAAGATCCAGAGTGCCGCTGGTCTTCACTGGGTTTGGCTTACTAAAGACATGAAACAGAAAATTGAAATATGGGGGAGAGTTCTCTTGAAACTCTACATCCAACTCTGGAAAGGTAAGCTGAGGTGGTATTTTGGTTTGCTACTGACAAGGAAGTTATTTTCACTCTTTTTTTTCTTAGGAGAAAGAATTCTTCCTCTACCTGTCCATTCCACCAAGCAGATCCTGACTCCAGCGTCCTGGGCTGGGGGGAACAGGCTCTGCTGGCTCCTCTGGACTGCAGATGTAGAAAGAGGAGAGGAAGAGGAAGCAGAGAAGTTGATGAACAAAGGGGGATTTACGATTCAGTGGAGATTTCAGAGCTAGAACAGGCCAGTTGAGGTAAAGGACGGGCAGATTATAAGAAGCCCAACAGTGCCACCTTGTGAGAGCTAATCAAATATTTGCCACCGTGACAACTTTTTAATTGCACAATTGTAACAATGTATTTTTAACAAACCCATCACTGAAACCCAGGAGATCGTCTGTTATTGGTTCACAGTTGTTGAGCTCTGAATCTGGCTTCTGTTCAGCACTGCAGTACAGGAGAGGAAAAGATATATTAGTGCACCTGCTTTGGCAAGAAAGCATATATCTCTATATCAAATGTTTAAGTGCCACACTTAATCAGGCATAATTAGAGACACCCCTTGGTATCAGGCTTTTTGAGCGCCTGAAAATGAGATGTGCATTATTTTGTAATTACTTTGAAGTGAGCTCAGTGGCAGTTAGCCCTCATCAGTTTTCTTGCCAACACTGCTATGACAATAATGAGGAAGTTGTTGGTTTTATACCTGTTCTCTGTGGGGTGATCGTCCGCTGAGTCTCCTTTTTGGTTTGCCAGGGCTTCCTCATCATTCTTAAAGCTACTGAGGAAAAAGCAAAAAAAACAAAAGCTCTTATTATCAGATGGCATATTGTTGAGGCTGTGGGAACTAATGTGTCACTGCATTTCTGGTTTCTCCGGCTTTCATCTTTCTCTTCTGGAAGTACCTGGATGAACTGGTGTCGAAAGAAATCAGAGTGTTGGACAGAGCATGGAGCGTGTCAGCAGCGGAGCTGTGAAACAAGATGGACAACAAACACATCACATTCCAGAGCAGCTTTGAATTACACATGTGAAAGAATGAGAGCAAACACACCTAAACAAAGAAAACCACTTAAACCACTGAAAGCATATTTTCATAACAACCATAGCTTTGCTTACAAATCATGCTCGAGGCTCATTATATACGTAGGTAGTTTTATGTTATATTGCTGGAGTGGTAGAAGCAGTATTAAGAGCTTTTACTTAAGAAAATAAAAGTAAAATTACATCCGGAGAAATATTTCCAGCTAAAACAGCTTTAAATACCCCAAAGTAAAACTACTCCAGGCAGATGAATGGTCCCTGTGAGGTTTTTATTGCTGTACTCTACATTACTGGAGCACTAGAAAGGACACATTAATGTGCAAGGAGAATTTTACTCTTGGAGCTGGTCTAAGTGGAAGTAATTTAGCTTCCGTTTCTAATGTTTCTTAGTGTGATCTTTAACAATCCACTGACTAAAATTATACTATGTTGATCTTTGTCTGTAAAATACCAAACCAAATGCCATATAAAGCAAATAGTAACTTAATAGGTTATATAAGCTTAAATAAATTGTTATGCACAATTATAGATCAACACAGTTACATTAAAGTGCAAATTCATGCAAGAGCTAGTAACATAACCCCTGAGTTTATTCCATTCCACCTGTTGATGCTACAAAATGTGCCAGGACTGAATGGAAATCTGACCTTGGTTTTGGAGGCAATTTAGTCTGTGGCTCTGGTTCCATTTTGGGTTCAGGTTTTGTGTTCAGTCCAGATTCTGTTACAGCAGGCACTGGGACAGGTGACTTGATGACAGTGGAGGTTGGGACAGAGGACACTTTAACATCTGATTTTTCAGGGGTTGAAGCCACATCAGGGGACACAGGAGCAGGCGACTTGGTGACAGTGGAGGTCGGGACAGTGGAGGTCGGGACAGGAGACACTTTGACATCCAATTTTTCAGGAGTTGCAGTCACATCCGGGGACACAGGTGCAGGTGATTTGGTGACAGTGGAGGTTGGGACAGTGGAGGTCGGGACAGGAGACACTTTGACATCCAATTTTTCAGGAGTTGAAGTCACATCAGGGGACACAGGTGCAGGTGATTTGGTGACAGTGGAGATTGGGACAGTGGAGGTCGGGACAGGAGACACTTTGACATCTGATTTTTCAGGAGTTGAAGTCACATCCGGGGACACAGGTGCAGGTGACTTGGTG